GCTCATCTTTCAGTCCAGCCTCTCTTGAAGATAACTCACAGCTCTTCTACGCTTTGTTTTATGTAACTCTCCCTCGCTTCCTCTGTCCTCTAACACTTTCTTCAACATACAGAGACCAACCCTCTCACTCCCTACCGCTGAAACTTCGTCGCCGCCACTCGCCGTCTCCCGCCCCACCATCTTCTCTTGCACAAACACCTCTCACATTAGGCTGAACCGCGCCTACTCGCGCAAGAGTGGTAGTGCTACCACTCTTCCGGCAGCACTCACCATCTCTCACCATCCCTCCCTACCCATGCTCAGCTCTGTGCCTATTGCTGCTTAATTGACAATCACGGACGAGCCCTGACAGAGGACCTGAACCAATCACGGACGACAAAAAGACACTGATCCGCAGGTCGGCTCAGGCCACAGCGCTAGCTGCCCCCTTGTCCCACCAGTGACCGCCCGCTCCTCCAGCCCTCCACCTCTCAACTCCGCTCCACCTGCTGTGCAACACCCTGTCCTGTCCACACCCACCGCACCTGCTGCTTCCCAGAAGAGGAAGGGGGAAGAGGAAAAAGACTCAAGCTCAAAGTCCAACAAGGAGAAAATGATCTCTGCTAAGGACACAAAGCTTTACTGTATCTGTAAAGTGCCTTAGGATGAATCTAAGTGGGTAGATCTTTTTGAGCTCTAGTTTTCTGTCTTGAAAGTTTAGCTATGAAATTGAAAGTTTTGAAGAAAATGAATATTTTGGGAGTGATATAAATGAAAATATTAAATTTAAGAGTAATGTTTCATCTATGGTCTTGCATGCGATATTCTTACCCTTGACACTAGTGAAGTAAAATTTGCTATTTCATGTGTTTGTGATTGTCCTTTGTTATCTTCTTTTCTGTCGAAAACAAGCTTTCTGTCGCTCCTTTGCTTTCTCCTCTTCCCTCTGAATTAACTCCAAATCAACGACTAATTGATGTCTGGAGAAGGAGATGTGTTACTGTTGCCCAAAATGGGGCGCATCCTTTCTGAGATCTGTTCAAAGCCCTGTGAATACATGAAATCCTGGAAACCATTTGAACATGAATGGTTAGAGGCTTTGAATTTGAGTGGTTCGGTTTCTTAATTATTTTAAGCAGTTCTGTTTTTTGTATTAAAATACTGAAACTCAATATTTTGTCAAAGTTTCCACTTTCTTACCAGAGACAAAAACCAGAAAAATACAAAAGGTGTTCCTTTTCCCCATTCCTCAAGCATAACATCCAACAATTTGGCAGCTGGAAGCTGTTTTTGACAGTTGTTGCTTGTATTTGGTGATATAAACAAGATTATAGAGGCACTAAACCATAAATGTAGTTTCTTTTTTTTTTTTTTTGGGGGGGGGTCATTACTATCATTTTACGAAATATTTAACTTCTACTTTGAACATTAAAATGTAGGCCAGCTTTTTAAAGCCACAATTAACCACATTTTTTACAAAACCAAAGAGTTTGATTGTGCTTTTAAAAATGATCATTTAGAATCAATTAATTAGAATTAGGAATGCTTAATGGAATACCTTAAGTGGGTACCTAATTGATTCCTGAAATAAAATTGTGGTCTCCTTAGTGATGTTCTGGTTGCAACACTGAAGCTGATTTGGTGGTGCTATCTAAGTGATCATCTGTTTGCAAATGCCAAATGAAAACTCTTTGTTGGTAGATCGAGCTGTGTGTTGAATTAAACACAAATCAGTTTAAGCATCTTCACTTTTCATTATCTTATCTCTTTGGAAATTATACATAATGTAAACAGTAGAACCCAATTCACTGATTTTTTTCCTTAGTTTAATACCAGTGTGCCTCACTTTAAGCAAAATATACTAAATGATTTCTGAAACAGGAGTTTCCTTACTTTTTCAGTTAAAAAGATTTGCCTACAGAATTTCTTTAAATAACAAGTCTTCTTTGGCCTGTTTAGAATATTCAGCTCACAGAAATTCATTTCACACACTTCTTTGAAATACCTACATTGCATAAAATGAGGCACACAGGTACATGTGCCCATTCCATCAAGATTGCCTCATGATTTTGTGGTTATTTTATATTCTTCAGTTTGTCATTATTAACACTTTAGTATGCTAGGTTCATTCACTCCCTATTTTAGTTGAGATGAGTTAGTGTCTCTAAGGAGTGTTTTGTAATCTCTTGTCCCAAATTAGGCTGGTTTGAGAATCCAGTGACAGTGACTAAAAATTGAAATTCAAGTCCTGAA